TTTAGTGATGTAATCTGTTATGCTGTTTTAAGTTTGATATTGGAGTTGCCGAACAATAAACAATCAATCCGGAACCTTCGAGTCTTCTGATTCATCTACAACCACTGTAGCAACATCTTTTCGAAACCGTGACAATGGCGTGCACGCCAGGATTTGGGGTCTCATGTAGTTTCGTGCCTAACATACTTCTAGTGGGCGTAGCATGACAATTTTTTCACGTATCAATCCTAACCCCCACCTGACTACTATGCAATCCAACAATTACGTCACAATCACGTCATAGAGCTCGTCAAATATACATACGAATACGATCGCCCGAAATGGCATCGGCACCGACGATTAAAAACTGACCTCCCCTCATGAAATAGAAATAGTTTGTAATTCTTTTATAATTGGAAAGGCTGAGGGTCATGACCATATATCTATCTATATGCTTAAACTGTTGAAAAATATTATTAGTCCAATTTTATGTCGATTTTTCAACACCTCTATATCTATAGGAATTTTTGCGAAGCATTTGAAAATTGCCAGAGTGGTTCCTGTTTATAAATCCGGTAGCAAGGATAAAGTTTCAAATTATCGCCCTATCTCAATTTTATCCTGCTTTTCGACTCTTTTTGAAAAATTATTATTGAAAAGATTAAACTCTTTTTTAGAAAAAAATTCAATTTTAAATAATGATCAGTTTGGTTTTCGCAATGGACACTGCACATCTCATGCAATACTTGACATTGTTAGTAAATATTATAATATTATAGATGAGGGTGTAGTAGGCTGCAGTATATTTTTGGATTTAAAAAAAGCTTTTGATACCGTGGATCATAATATTTTAATTAGTAAATTGAATCATTATGGTGTTCGTGGGGTTGCTAATAAGTTGTTTTCTAGTTACTTAGAAGGTAGATGCCAATTTGTATGTTTGGCTGGTTCGGAATCTCGGAGAGAAGCTGTGTCTGTTGGGGTCCCTCAAGGCTCTGTATTAGGACCTACCCTTTTTCTTATCCATATCAACGATATAGTTAATGCCACTAAAGCTTCAATAAACCTTTTCGCAGACGACACTAGCGCTACATTCTCTGCCGCGAATATGACAGACTTGGAGCGTATAGTTAATAATGAACTAGTTCATATATCCAATTGGCTCACTTTAAATAAGCTTACAGTAAATCCTAACAAAACACAAATCATGTTAATTAACTGTAACAAACACCCAGAAACTTCCAACTTCATCCCAAAGTTTATCCTGAATTAACTATTTGCAACTCGGTCAAGTATCTTGGTGTAATTTTAGATAGTAAAATCAATTGGCAAATGCATATTCACCATCTAGCAAGCAAGTTGTCTAGAGCTATTGGTGCAATGACTAAACTAAGCCGATTTGTGCCAAAAAGTATATTAAGAACTGTTTACTTTGCACTATTTCACTCTCATCTACAATATGGAATTGTAGCATGGGGCTCGGCATGCAAATTCCATCTCAAAACAATATCTGTTCTTCAAAACCGTGCCCTGAGATTGATGACTGGTGCTCGTTCTAGACAGAGTTTGGGACCAATTTATAAAAAAATGAACATCCTTAAACTTGAGGATGTGTATAAACTTGAAGTGGCAAAAGTCATGTTCCAGTTCAAATTCGGTATGCTGCCCATTGCTTTTAACAATTATTTTACCAGTTGCAGCAATGTCCATAGTTATAACACCCGTTCAGCTGGCAGAGGCTCTTATTTTGTTAGAAGGACAAACTCCACCCTGGTGCAAAAATCTATAAAAATTGCTGGCCCAAACATATGGAATAACATTCCAAATTTGATCAAAGAATCTTCGTATAATAGTTTTAAGAGTAAATTCATGAGGCATCTCATTGATAAGTACTGAAGGTATGATTTTGTCCAAACTTCATGATACCTTCTGTATCCTAGCATATATAAATTACTATTATGTTTTTTATGTTTATCCATATTTATATATTGAGTACTATTTGTGTATCTGCAATAACTGCCATCTAATTTTGAGGCAAACCCTTGCTGATTCAAATAATAGTTTATTCTCCATATTTATATAATGAGTACTATTTCTGTATTTGCAAAAATTGCCATCTAATTTTGAGGCAAACCAAACCCTTGGTGACTCAAATATTAATTTATTTATCCATATTTATATATCGAATACTTTTGTGTATTTGCAATTACTATCATCCAATTTTGGGCAAACCCTCATTTACTCATATTTATATATTGAGTACTATTTGTGTATTTGCTAAAATTGCCATCTAATTTTGAGGCAAACCCTTGCTGATTCAAATAATAGTTTATTTATCCATAGGCTATTTATATTATGAGCACCATTGGTGCCCTTGCAATCTAATCTAAACTGCCATCTAATTTTGAGCCTAACCCTTGCTGATTTAAATAATAGTTTATTTTTCCACATTTATATATTGAGTACTATTTGTGTATCTGCAATAACTGCCATCTAATTTTGAGCCTAACCCTTGCTGATTCAAATAATAGTTTATTTCTTCATATTTATATATTAAGTACTATTTGTGTATCTGCAATAACTGCCATCTAATTTTGAAGCTAACCCTTGCTGATTCAAATAATAGTTTATTTATCCTACTTATATTGTGAGTACTATTTTATGTATTCGCCAAAACTGCCATTTAATTTTGAGGCAAATCCTTGCTGATTCAAATTATAGTTTATTTCTCCGTACTTATATACTGAATACTATTTGCGTATTTGCAATACCTGCCATCTAATATTGGGGCAAACCCTTGCTGATTCAAATAATAGTTTATTTATTCATATTTATATTATGAGAACCATTTGTGTATCTGCAATAACTGCCATCTAATTTTGAGGCAAACCCTTGCTGATTCAAATAATAGTTTATTTATTCATATTTATATTATGAGAACCATTGGTGTATTTGCAATAACTGCCATCTAATTTTGAGGCAAACCCTTGCTGATTCAAATAATAGTTTATTTATCCATATTTATATATTTAATACTTTTTGTGTATTCGCAATAACTGCCATCTAATTTTGGGGCAAACTCTTGCTAAGTCAAATAATAGTTTATTTATCCATATTTATATATTGAATACTATTTGTGTATTCGCAATAACTGCCATCTAATTTTGGGGTAAACCCTTGCTGATCCAAATAATAGTTTATTTATTCATATTTATATATTGAATACTATTTGTGTATTTGCAATAACTGCCATCTAATTTTGAGGCAAACCCTTGCTGATTCAAATAATAGTTTATTTATTCATATTTATATTATGAGAACCATTTGTGTATCTGCAATAACTGCCATCTAATTTTGAGGCAAACCCTTGCTGATTCAAATAATAGTTTATTTATTCATATTTATATTATGAGAACCATTGGTGTATTTGCAATAACTGCCATCTAATTTTGAGGCTGAACCCTTGCCATATTCTTTATATTGAGGTCTATTTTGTGCATTTGAGAGGCTGACCCTCTATATTTCAAATAATGTTTATTTATCCAAATTTCCACTCGATATTAAGATTACCAAAATTGTTTCACATTTGGGGCATATAATAGTTTATAAATTGGTACTTATATATGTATTTGTGGGTATTAGTCACCCATCTGGCTAAATTCTTTCTTGTTATAAGGCTGATTCCACTCTTTATACAATTGTTTCCCAATATTATATTCACATGACTATGAGTACCATTTTGTTTATCTCCAGAAACTTATTTTTATATGTGAGGCTTACCGCTTACTCACTCAAACAATTGTTATGTGTCCAACATTACATTTGAGTGTAGTAGTCCAATAGCCAAATTTGTTTTTATTCATGGGACTTAGACCTCGCTTTCAAATAATAGTCTGTGTAATAGTTGATTATTCGTTCAAACTGTTTCATTTCTCAAAGACAAATCTTATCTTTTAAAAATTTACTTTGCTAAAATAATTATATTTTTTTTGTTCAATTCGTATAACGCGCCTCAGCCCTTCTCTTATTTTCTCATTTTGTTTTTAATCATCACATGTCGATGGCTATTGAAATTTGTAGCCCAATTGCAGGCAATTTAGGTAAATTAGATAACAACATCACATGTAATATCAAAACGATAAATAGCATCCCGATCCCGCTTACATATATTTTCCAAATATGTATCCATGACGAATGCTTGTAATATCCTTACCTGACCCCTTCATAAATTATTCTCCCAGTTCAAAATGAATGCAATATTTCTTCAAATGAAAAATAGTAATGGGCTTCTTAGTTGCATCATACCACATTTATTTTGTTAGTTTTATAACTTTTCTGTATTACCATGTTTATTCAAATTGTTTGTTTGTATATATTGATGTTAACACGAAAAATTGCTTAGTCCATTTTTTTGTTTTGTTCGTTTTTTTTTTTTTTTTTCAAATTTTGTTTCATGAATTTTAACCACTTCAAATAGTCATATTTTACTGTGAACTTATCAGCGTAAACTTGGAGGGAGCTGACTCCGATGACCGCATGGTCGTATCGCTCCTTCCAGTCTATACCGAAAAAAGTGTATTTTTTGTTACCATTATTTATTGTTATGACTGTTTTTTTTTTTTCTGGTTGACGAAAATAAATCTCTCTCTCTCTCTAATGTCAGCGATCTCTCTCATATCGGGATCGTTGCGACGAGAAAACAAGAGAAATGATGCTCGTCTGCGCGTCTTGGATAACAGTTCGTATAGCTTGAAGGGCTCTATTACGTCACTGTGACGTCTTAGTGACGTAATTTTTTGATGGCGTAGTCAGGTGAGAGTTAGGATTGATATTTCAAAAAATTGTTATGCTATGCCCACTAGAAGTGGATTCGGTACGAAACTACATGAGTCCCCAGATTTGTTGACGGCTATTTCAAAGAACAGAAAAAGAAGCGAATTTCAACATGGAGAAATTGTGTGCCGGAAACGTCAACTTCGGGAAAGTTGTGACAATGGTCATTTCCGGATAAGAGCAGAGCAATGTCTGGCAAGTTTGCGAGAAATGGAACTGACACGTATTCATCGGGCGGAGGCAGTGGATATGTAGTTGATCCTGGCCAGCCAGCAGTGGACTATGGACCATTTTCGTTCAAGTGAGCTTGATATGGCGGACGATGATGTCTGGTGATGAAAAGACTTTGTGTTCCAAATTGCAGCAGAGTTGGGAAATAAAACTGAAATGCGTTGAAATGTTTTTTTTTATGGGCGAGTTTTCGGGTAATGATGGTGGCTCGATATGCAGGCGGTTGAGGCTGGTTGGACTTTTGTGACCGGTTTTCAGAAATGGGATTGAGTGTATTGACTTCAGTGGTGGAGCCCTGAAGTGTTAGAATCTCATTGTGTGTGGTCAATATGAGCCAGTAACCGTTGCATATCGGAGCGGGATCCCTGTGGGGAGGAGTAAATCCAGGAAGGAACATTTTCCCCAAATTGCTAAGATGACGAACGTGTAGATGCACAAGAAAAACTATCTGAGTTATATTTTTGCTGGCTGCGTTTGAAGGCGACTTAACAAACTCGAGAAATTGCGACTGTGATTGAATTTTTGTGTTATAGTGGTTGTTCCATTTCATTCCTGATAACTTTGATTTTCTTTCACTTAAGGGGGATGCACACATGCACGGCTACGGCTGGTCTACGACAGCTCACGGCAAGTTCGTCCGGCTGCTGGCGGGTGTGATACAGACATCACCGATTCTGCGCATTACCCAGCAGATCGAGATTTTCGCGCGGCTGATTTTCTCGCTGCTACGGCTCTACGACAAAGTAGAAGTATGCTGGACTTTATCGCATTGCCGTGGCACACCTGCGCTAGCTTCCATAGTATTAACCTGTGTCTGTGTGGTGATGTTTCTTTGGTATAATTTGTCTAAATTGCAAGTCTAGCCTACGTGATAAACGACCGGTACCTGTGTCTGTGAACGTGGGCTAGTACAAGAGAATTTCGAATTGATTTCATTGTTGCGCTAGGCCCAGTTTTATTATTACAACCAGCGGTCAGCAAGGAAAATAGGTACCGTATACAGAAAATGGATCCCAATCGTAATGGAATCTCAAGACTCGTCTCTAAAACGACTGTGATGTATATGTTGTATCAAGACATTTGGACTACCAGGTGAGTACGGTACCGTACATCACCGGTACGGTATCTAAACTACAGCTATGCAGCCAGAGAGTACCGGTACCGTACTGGGATATGGTATGGTAGCCTACTGGTGCTTAGTTCAGTAGTTGCGGTACGGTATATCTGTATATTGACATGAGGACATATGTTCGCACAAAATCCTGGTTTTGCACCTGTACAATTTTGAGATACAGCTTGAATCAAAAAATCAGTAATTGAGATTTATAAAGCTGTAAAGTGTACCAGTATCTTAGTATAGTACAAATAAACTACTGATTTACGGTATTTTTATTGTCAGATACCATGCTAGCTTGCCCGTCATTTTTAATGTGCATACAAATAAAATTATAGGACTCGTACTAAGTTTGTGTGTTCTATAACAGGGAAATGTGGGGTCCATGACCTGCTTCTACATGGAAGTGATAAGTCTGAATTCTTATGGGCAGAAGAAATTTTGGAATCTTCCGACGAAGAAAAATGCCATCAGTATTTTCGAATGCAAACGTATCAATTTGACTATTTGCTCGATAAACTTGAATCGATAATCAGTAAAAAAGACACATTTTGGCGCGAAGTGCCAAACGAAGGCTAATATTGACTATTCGGTTAGTATTATATAATATATATAACGTGAAGTACCATTTGAATAGTTGTTCTAATAATTCAAGTATCATAGTTTCTGTTTTCACTGGATATTACAACAAAATTATTCATATTTCAGTCGATATGACCTAATTCACTGTGATATCCATTGATACCTGCTTCTAATTTGGCACAAATGTTAACAAACGTGCAAGGCACAAACTGCTCACAATTTTGTGTCTTTGATTTGGATTTATATGTACAGTGCGACAATGAATTTGCTTTACCGATGAATTTGTATTTTTACTGAATATCTAAATATTGTTTTTTCTTACAGATATTTGGCCACTGGTGCTTCTCAGTTGGATCTTGCGCTTTCATTCCGAATTGGCCACTCAACTATTGGGACAATTCTCAGAGAAACAATGTCTGCTCTGTGGAAAAAACTTGTTAATGAAGTTATGCCTCCACCTACTCCGGGGAAATGGTTGGAGATTGCTAAGGAATTCAATTTTAGATGGCAATGTCCAAATTGCATTGGTGCTCTTGATGGAGAGCATGTGCGAATAAAATGCCCTCCAAATAGTGGCAGCGAATTCTATAATTATAAGGGTTACTTTTCAATTGTTCTACTGGCTGTCTGTGATGCGCAATATAGGTTTGTTATTGTCGACATTGGTAATTCTGGTAGGCACAGTGATGGTGGTGTTTTTTCAAACTCACGATTGGGAAAAGGATTCGATCAATCCAGCCTCAATATTCCTGGCCAGCAGACTCTGCCTGGCACTAGTGAATCCATCCCATTATATTATGATGCTTTCCCGTTGAAAATTGGAATCATGAAGCCCAGTGGCGGCGCGTCAATAGGGCCAACCGGGGCAATGCCCCGGTTGTTTTTTCGGTGTAATAAAAAATATTCGAAAAATACATCAATATCGGTTGCACAGACTGTCTACACTAGCCATGTTCTCCCGACATGGTTCATTTTTCGCTCGCAAAGCCTTCGCCGAACGTCGACGGGGCGACGCCTATTTTTCCCCGGTTGCTCATTGTATATCGTATTCTCTCTTTTATCTTCCACTCGCCACGTTTGTGTCCTTTGTTTTCTGTTTCTTTTACTAAATCATCGGGGCTAGCCCCGAAATTATGACGACACAATGCCGACGTTTCTTACAACAACGTGTTGACATATTCACGCATTCCTTCTCGTTCGTTGGTTGCTTGAAGAGTTGATAGTTTCCTCGCCTTCGTTTTTGTCGCTTGTTTCGCTATTTGAATCAGTTAGAGACCTTTAGTCCATTTGCTTTCGATTTTCCACATTCCTTTTGAGCTCCTCACTTCTTTCCGGCTTCGCATTTCTTAGCCTTAGATCTCATAATGAATAAGGTTGATGCACTACTTCGCACTCCGTTTTCGCAGCTGCCGCTGGAACAAAAATTAGAGGTACAACGTCTTGGGCCTTATCAACCAAACAATTTTTCACTGGAACAATCCCATGACGGAGGAAAGCGTCGGCGTACATTCTGCGCAGAAACTTGGTATAAAAAACACGAATGGTTGTGTTACAGCGAGGACAAAAATGCACTTTTTTGTTTTTATTGCCTACTTTTTGCTACCGCCCGTGACTGACGTTGGTGTAAATTTGGTTTTAGAGATCTTAAACATCTTTCCGGGCGTGCCAGGGATCATCAATCTTCTATGGAGCATCTGGACAATGCAGTAAAATACCGAACATTCGGAAATGTTAATATTGCAGCACAGTTGGATGAAGGACGCGCGGTTTCTATTCGTCGGCACAACCAAAACGTCGAGAAAAACCGCCATGTTCCGTCGATTGATAGATATTTTGAAGTTCATTGGTTGTCACGAGCTGTCCCTCCGTGGGCACGATGAACGGGCTGGCTCTTCTAATAGAGGGGTATTTTTGGATATGGTGGAATACACCGCATCCCTAGATACAGTATCATCTTGATGCCGCAACTGTTTCGAAAGGGACATCTAAGGATATCCAAAATGATTTGCTCGACTCAATGTATAAAATTTATTTACAACATTTGGCTCTGGAAATTGAGAATTGCCAGTTCCTTTCGATTCAGTCTGACGAGACAACTGACATCACGTGCGTTTCCCAACTGGCTGTGATTTTTCGGTTTGTGAAAGATGGTAAACCTACCGAAAGATTTCACAGCTTTGTACTAATCGTTGATTGCACGGCTTGCGGGATATCGGCTGTACTGAAAGAAGTGTTACAGCCTTAAAACGCGAAGTCAAAATTGATAGCTCAAACTTATGACGGCGCGGCAGTCATGAGTGGGTCGAAACATGGTGTTCAAGTTTATATAAAAGAAGATTTTCCTCATGCGCATTTTTTTACATTGTTATGCACACCAATTTAACCTCGTTATTAAAAATATGTGTCTTGATACCCCTCTCGACCGTATATTTTTTGCAAATGTTTCGGGGTTTTCTTCATTTTTTTCCGTTTCGCCGAAGCGCTCTGACCTCCTTCGCCAGATATGTAGCCGCCGTCTCCCAGATTGTGCACCAACACGTTGGAACTTCCAATCACGCGTGGTGCAGGGCGTGTCCGAAATTAGGTCTGAGCTCATTGAGTGTTTCAATAGCATTCAGAGCTCTCCGGTTTGGGACAAACGCTCTGTGAGGGAGGCGGCAGGTCTAAAGCGTCTGCTAGAAAATGGTGAGTTTTCATTTTTTCTCCACAATATTCTATCACGTGGATGTATTATACGGCGCATTGCAGTCAAGGCTAATGGATGGAGCGTCTGTGCAGTCGTGTATTTCAGACTTCTGCGATGCTGTATCTCGTATCCGGGAAACAATAAAATACGACGACACATGGAGTGCTTCTTTACGCCGCGGGCAAACAACGCAGCGTTTGATTTTGTCTGCAAAGGAATGCTGTGACATTCTGGTGAATCAAATAGGCGATCGTCTGCGCACTGAACACCTTGCCGCGTTCTCTTTGATGAACCCCAAAAATTTTTCAAAATTTGCACGTCAATTTCCCATCCATTTGTTGGCTACTGTCTCCAAATTTTATCCCATGATAAACGTGGGTAAATTAAATTGGAAAATGAATTGCGATGTATATACACCAATCAAACTTTTTTGAACATCACATCAACTTGCGCGCTCTATGGGTTCCTCATAGATAACACTCTAGTAACTACGTTTGCGGCGTCTGCAAAATTTCTGGACATCATTTTGACGACGCCTATTTCTTCCGCCGACGCAGAGCGAACATTCAGCACGCTGAAGCGTATTAAAACGTATCTCAGAAACACAATGAAGCAAGATAGATTAAATTCCTTGGCTGTTTTATCCATTCACAGAGACGTTATTTCTGGGATGCATGACTTTAATCAGCGCGTTATTGAGCATTTTGCTTCCAAAAAACCGCGGCGTGTTGCATATATGTTCAAGCAGTAGAAGTCTGGCAGCATATATATCTATGAGTGAGCGACGCATGTCCTTATCTTTGCATTAACTTTCCTCTCTTCATAGTAACGTTTTAAACCTTATTTTAGGTTTTGTCTGCTTTCCCAAAGTTTCTGTTAATATGTCATTGTATTTATCTGGGTAAATATTGCCTTTCCTTTTGAAAGAGGTTTCAAAATAAACTATGTCTATATTTATTAATCCCTTGACTTGGACCGGTTTTAAAGACACCTTCTTATCGTTAAAAATTGTCGATTTTGCCGATTGGTTGTTACCGATGGAATGGTTTTTATACTCATAAAATGATGGGAGAACTTACAGCGCTCATCCTGTCTCCGTAGATGGGGGTGACTTGGTCCCGCAGTAGCTTGCCCCGGTTGTCAAAATGACCACGCGCCGCCACTGTGAAGCCCTATCCTGGTCGTGGACTGAATAGTAGTCAGAAAATTTTCAATTATCGGCTGAGCAGGGCTAGGAGGATTGTGGAAAACACTTTTGGGATTCTAGCTGCCAGTTGGCATTTTTTTTTCAAAACTATAAACTGTGATCCAGAAATGGCCACATTAATTGTACAATCCTGTGTTGTACTGCACGATTACCTCCAGCAACCACAGGGGCAAACTTCTATTTATGGTGACAACATGGGCCCACTTGGAACAGTGTCTGAGGGAAATTGGAGGCATAGCTTGCCAGTAAATTTGAACATGTTTCCTTTGCACCATTTCGGCTCAAACAATTATTCCCGTAATGCAGCTTCTTTTAGAAATAAACTGTGCCTGTACTTTATGTCTACAGGGGCTGTACCATGACAGTGGAATCATTGATAAAATGCTCTCTTCTAGTTGAAGTAAATAGAACTGTTTTGTTAAAAGCACCATTAGTTGGTTGTTTGTATTTTGGTAAATTGGCTGTAATACAGTTCTTTTGTTTATTAATCTTTTATGAAGATATTGTGATTATTACGAGAGAATGTTTTATCTACCGTAATTCTTTTCGAAGCCCCATATTCCCACCTTGGTGAATTTTTGAGTGATTTTTGATGTTCTCATTCATCCATTTATAAAGTCATGATTTTATGTACGCATGGAATTGAGAAATACATGAATAATGATTTTTGGATCCTGTCAATAATGTTGCGTTCATTTTTTCAGTTTACTTGTAGACTTGTTACTGCATTAGGAGCTAAATACGGATTTTAATGCAAGGTTAATAGACAGCATCTCAAGCAAAGAGCCTCTATACAATTAGTACCATGCTGACTACAAAAACAGAATCAAAATAGACCCACTGTGGAAAGACGTGGCAATGGATGTGGAAGCTTTGGGTGTGCTGCTTTTCCCCTTAAGTAGATATTATAGATTCTATATTGTCAAAGCTTTTAATCATGCTTGCCTTGAACAGATGGCAAAAAATTTAAACAGTAATTGCAAACAGAAATCCATGCCAAATAAATCGATATTGGAATTTTGTTAGCTATGAGACACTGTTTGTCATGACATCTCATACAAGTTACTATACTGCTTCATACCAATTCGACCCCTTTTTCAGTTGAGCATTGCAAAACTAGATGGACTAGTTTGAGAACCTCGTATGGGAAGAAGCATAGAGAAAGATAGAAAATTCCCAGTGGGTCAGCTGCATCACAATTGACAAAATGGCCTTACTATCATCAATTGTCATTTCTAGATTCCTTCATTAAACACTGAAAGTAAGTTATTTAATCACTTGTTTTCTACAATAAATACGATAGCACTTCATACTAGCATCTTCTGTGTACTTCTGGATGTTCTTTGATGCAGCATCTTGATTTGTTTGTTCATTCATAAGTTCTAAACTAGTTTAGAATGTAATTTCAATTCAATGATAATAGTGTATTTAGGTATTCAAATTTATGTTTTTTAATCAGTATCACTCTTTGTAGAACCGTAGATAACTTGCCTCAAGCCTGTATAGAGCAAGATACCTCAATAGAGAGTTTGACTGAAAATACTAGTGAAGGTAAGCGAACTAAACAGCTCTGTAACTAGTATCAGAACAATAAGTTAATGCTTGTATTATGTGCACAATCTGTAGAAGTATTGTGCAGGTCTATCCATTCAATGTATACTTAAAATTATCACATGATATATTTATACTTTTAACGTTGGAAATGTTGACTTGTTTGAATCTGGAATGTATAAATTCCATGTAGATTATGTAAGTCGTAGATCACATTTCCTTACATATAGATATTATTTGTGCAATCATTATTAATATAAAAGACAATGGCATCTTCTTGTATTTCTCAATTTGGATGTTTGGAATGAGTTGAAAAGTCTTTTTCAACAACCCACATTAGGAATCAATATACATATTCATTCCGATAGAGAAAAAGGCTGACGAAATCGCCAAATAATATGACGTTAATATGACTTGACCTTGGAAGTCCATCTTTGTGCCACAAAGAAAAGTGGAATGGAAGTTCAATCAGGACCTTTGCAAAAAGAAAAAGATCAGAAATAAGTATAGTACAGATAGACAAAAGATCAGTTAGTTTAGATTTGGTTAGTTATATAAAAATCATTTTGGGTGTTCCTGAATCCGTTTAAGCTGATACACTTGTAGCTGTACATTGATCGAAGCTAAGAACATTAGTGTCGTTGGAGTTGAGAATTTGATGGAATGAAAGATTTTGAGAGTATATGATATATTATTTTCAGGCGGAGATGGTGAACATTTTGAGAAAAAGCACCCAGCAGCTGGAGAATACTAAATATGTAGATAAATTTGAGCATTTTGGCAATCTTGTGGCAGCTCAGTTACGTTCAAGGCCGTTACTTGAAGCAGAAGCATGCATGAAAGATATGAGTATTGTGACGTTTCGTGACATCGTGGTAGAGGTTTCTGTTTTGGAACAGGGCCAGTAGCTCCACATTTTGTCTGTATACCAGATAATGAAGAAAATTGGACTTATTAAAGTTATGGCTTATTTCAGTCATGCTTCTCATGTTATTCTTTTCATGTGGCGTTTTCGTTTTGGGCAAAATGAAATAAGGAATGTAATTATGAAACAGTGATGTTGTCTTGTTTAGTGTATAGTTCTCAGTAGATTATACGAATATATTTTCCTCGAAGAAAACTAACTATTTACTGGAAAAAATGGGCTACTGGATGTATGTAGCTAATTAATATTACTTTGAATGAATGGTATTTAGAGATGGGCTCAGGAATTCCGTGGTGATATGTAATTAAATGCGTGTCATCATTGTGATTTGAGAGGTTTGCTGATTCCTAGGGACTGGCCAACATGTGAGGACAAAGTCTCGTGTTCATGAGTTTTAAGAAGTTATTAACATGTTTATATTCTGTCACTTCAGAAGCCAAGGTTTCAATTACGTTATGGTATAGATGCACCAAACAACGCAGATTAAGATTGGGCTGTGGCAATATAGAATTAATGCTGGGTATTCACTAGAGGTATGGGCTACTATAAAATCATTGAACTCTGTTTTGACTTGTAAGTGGTGGTGGTTCCGATAATAATGGCGGTGGAATAACGCGGTTGAATAGATTTTATAAAGGGAAGAAACGTGTTTGAGGATTAAGCAAAACATCCAGGCCATGTATTTGATCGTAAATATATACTATTCATCAGTGGCGGCGCGTCAATAGGGCCAACCGGGGCAATGCCCCGGTTGTTTTTTCGGTATAATAAAAAATATTCGAAAAATACCTCAATATCGGTTGCACAGACTGCACTAGCCATATTCTCCCGACATGGTTCATTTTTCGCTCGCAAAGCCTTCGCCGAACGTCGACGGGGCGACGCCGATTTTGCCCCGGTTGCTCATTTTATATCGTATCCTCTCTTTTATCTTCCACTCGCCGCGTTTGTCTCCTTTGTTTTCTGTTTCTTTTACTAAATCATCGGGGCTAGCCCCGAAATTATGACGACACAATGCCGACCTTTCTTACAACAACGTGTTGACATATTCACGCATTCCTTCTCGTTCGTTGGTTGCTTGAAGAGTTGATAGTTTCCTCGCCCACGTTTTTGTCGCTTGTTTCACTATTTGAATCAGTTAGAGACCTTTAGTCCATTTGCTTTCAATTTTCCACATTCCTTTTGAGCTCCTCACTTCTTTCCGGCTTCGCACTTCTTAGCCTTAGACCTCATAATGAATAAGGTTGATGCACTACTTCGCACTCCGTTTTCGCAGCTGCCGCTGGAACAAAAATTAGAGGTACAACCTCTTGGGCCTTATCAACCAAAAAATTGTTCACTGGAACAATCCCATGACGGAGGAAAGCGTCGGCGTACATTCTGCGCAGAAACTTGGTATAAAAAACACGAATGGTTGTGTTACAGCGAGGACAAAAATGCACTTTTTTGTTTTTATTGCCTACTTTTTGCTACCGCCCGTGACTCACGTTGGTGTAAATTTGGTTTTAGAGATCTTAAACATCTTTCCGAGCGTGCCAGGGATCATCAATCTTCTATGGAGCATCTGGACAATGCAGTAAAATACCGAACATTCGGAAATGTTAATATTGCAGCACAGTTGGATGAAGGACGCGCGGTTTCTATTCGTCGGCACAACCAAAACGTCGAGAAAAACCGCCATGTTCTCGGTCGATTGATAGATGTTTTGAAGTTCATTGGTTGTCACGAGCTGTCCCTCCGTGGGCACGATGAACGGGCTGGCTCTTCTAATAGAGGGGTATTTTTGGATATGGTGGAATACACCGCATCCCTAGATACAGTATTGAGAGATCATCTTGTTGCCGCAACTGTTTCGAAAGGGACATCTAAGGATATCCAAAATGATTTGCTCGACTCAATGTATAAAATTTATTTACAACATCTGGCTCTGGAAAGTGAGAATTGCCAGTTCCTTTCGATTCAGTCTGACGAGACAACTGACATCACGTGCGTTTCCCAACTGGCTGTGATTTTTCGGTTTGTGAAAGATGTACCAATCGTTGATCGCACGGCTTGCGGGATATCGGCTGTACTGAAAGAAGTGTTACAGCCGTACAACGCGAAGTCAAAATTGATAGCTCAAACTTATGACGGCGCGGCAGTCATGAGTGGGTCGAAACATGGTGTTCAATTTTATATAAAAGAAGATTTTCCTCATGCGCATTTTTACATTGTTATGCACACCAATTCAACCTCGTTATTAAAAATATGTGTCTTGATACCCCTCTCGTCCGTATATTTTTTGCAAATGTTTCGGGGTTTTCTTCATTTTTTTCCGTTTCGCCGAAGCGCTCTGACCTCCTTCGCCAGATATGTAGCCGCCGTCTCCCAGATTGTGCACCAACACGTTGGAACTTCCAATCACGCGTGGTGCAGGGCGTGTCCGAAATTAGGTCTGAGCTCATTGAGTGTTTCAATGGCATTCAGAGCTCTCCGGTTTGGGACGAACGCTCTGTGAGGGAGGCGGCAGGTCTAAAGCGTCTGCTAGAAGATGATGAGTTTTCATTTTTTCTCGCTTTTTTCTCCACAATATTCTATCACGTGGATGTATTATACGGCGCATTGCAGTCAATGCTAATGGATGGAGCGTCTGTGCAGTCGTGTATTTCAGACTTCTGCGATGCTGTATCTCGTATCCGGGAAACAATAAAATACGACGACACATGGAGTGCTTCTTTACGCCGCGGGCAAACAACGCAGCGTTTGATTTTGTCTGCAAAGGAATGCTGTGACATTCTGGTGAATCAAATAGGCGATCGTCTGCGCACTGAACACCTTGCCGCGTTCTCTTTGATGAACTCCAAAAATTTTTCAAAATTTGCACGTCAATTTCCCATCCATTTGTTGGCTACTGTCTCCAAATTTTACCCCATGATAAACGTGGGTAAATTGGAAAATGAATTGCGATGTATATACACCAATCAAACTTTTTTGAACATCACATCAACTTGCGCGCTCTATGGGTTCCTCATAGATAACACTCTAGTAACTACCTTTGCGGCGTCTGCAAAATTTCTGGACATCATTTTGACGACGCCTATTTCTTCCGCCGACGCAAGGCGAACATTCAGCACGCTGAAGCGTATTTAAACGTATCTCAGAAACACAATGAAGCAAGATAGATTAAATTCCTTGGCTGTTTTATCCATTCACAGAGACGTTATTTCTGGGATGCATGACTTTAATCAGCGCGTTATTGAGCATTTTGCTTCCAAGAAACCGCGGCGTGTTGCATATATGTTCAAGCAGTAGAAATCTAGCAGCATATATATCTATGAGTGAGCGACGCTCACTCACGCTGAAAGAGGTTTCAAAATAAACTATGTCTATATTTATTAATCCCTTGACTTGGACCGGTTTTAAAGACACTTTCTTATCGTTAAAAATTGTCGCTTTTGCCGATTGGTTGTTACCGATGGAATGGTTTTTATACTCATAAAATGATGGGAGAACTTACAGCGCTCATCCTGTACCCGTAGATGGGGGTGACTTGGTCCCGCAGTAGCTTGCCCCGGTTGTCAAAATGACCACGCGCCGCCACTGCTATTCATTATGATTGTGTTAAACACAATGCACATTCGCTACAGTGTCATGCATACCAACTAAAAAAAAATCTTATCATAATTAAGAAAACACGTCGAAACCCAATCGTGGGGCACTTGGGCCCTTGGCCGCGAATATGTGTATTGATATATACAGTGTGTATTGGAACCGCAGAAATCATACCACGGAGCTGCCGGCGACAAAGCGTTTAAATGGGGATTCCCCAAACGACTGCCGTTCTGCCGGGCATGTGTGCAGCGGCCTTTATGCTGACATGTTGGAACTTCTCTGGTAAATATGCCTCTAGTTTGAAGGGTGGTGGGGTACACACATTTTTGAAAATTGGATATTTGAGGTCTTTCAAATTTAAATTAGCGCAGTTTCCATATCTTTTCCACATTTAGAGCAGGGAGGTTTTTTTAGAATAAAACTTGTCGAGTTTCATTCTGAACAAGGAAGGGGCTCTGTCGCGGACTAAAGTGTCCAATTTATATTGTGTGTATATATATTTTTATGTTTATAGACTGTTATGTCGACCCTTGTTTGATGCTGTTATGTTGGATCTTCGACTCCGACCACTCACTACACGTGAGAGAAAGGCTGCGTCTTTCTCTTTTTCTCCGGCCACTGCCCTGGCGGTCGGTCGTGTTCTCAGTTTCTTAACGATGTTTTGTTTGACTGTTATATGCTTGTAATTATGCGTTGCCGTTCAATAAACAACCAATCCGAAACCGTTGAGTCTTCTGATTCATCTACAACCACAGTAGCAACATCTTCAGACTGTGACAGTATTGTAGCATCATTCGATGCTCTATTGGGCTATCTTGACCTAATTTTATATTGGTTATGGCGCACGGCTGACTCAACGTTGGTGTCTTCACTACATACTCGAATGTCTTTACATGACGGACTTCTTTCAACATTATTTAACAATAATTCACATGAGTGAATACTCCTGCCATCGTTATGTATTTGCTCCAAGCTCTTTGCTCGAATAATTTCCTTCAGAATGATATTCTATTGTTTGAATTTTCGCCATCTTGAGCTTGTAACCAGCGAACCGTTTTTGCTTTATTGCCTTCAGTTGCTTTACAGTCTAACAACAATTGTTATGTGATATATACTTCTATTTAGAAGTAAATATAGGCTACTTGACGTTTTGGTAATTCATATGTGTAGTTTATTTTAGTATCTTCAACTAAAGTACACAAACAAAAATCAAATAAAAACTCGCGTGAAGCGCGTGT